GCCTTTAAAAATTATTCTGCAAGGCCATTTGCTATTGCAAAAATATATATGCTCTTCCACTGCAGTGTCCATAAAGCATTTGGTTCACTGGAAGTGTCACCCACATGTGTCCCTCATATAGGACCGAGCCTGTGGGGGGGGGTTTTAGTCATAGTTTTCTTAGGGGACTGTAAATACCTCAGAATTAATCAAGGAAAATGTACCTACCACTTTTGTTAAGAAAATAAAGGTGGACTTTGCTTTTCTTCTGTTCTTAGTCTTTGCTTGCTCTTCACCAGTCATAAAATTATCCAGTTATACTTCTGCATTTTAATTATTAACAAAAATCATAATAAAGTAACAAAGTAAAAACATATCCTAAATAATTTCCCTCAGAGAGACCTATCTTTTTTTTGTTGTTGTTGTTTCTTTTTGTGTTATCAAATTGAGAGGAAAGCTAATGTATTTATAAGCATTTGCTGGGTGAAGGTATGGGTGTTAACATCTTTGAAATAGGTCTTAATGTCTCAAATGACTTTGGGCAGGGACTTGTTGCATAGCCCAGACAAAAAAACTCCTGGAAAAAACAAGTGGGTCTACACAAGCCTGAACTTCTGAACTTTGGGGTAAAATAGTATGTTCAAGGGGGGAATACATGGCAGGTGGTTTGGGAAGGCTGTGCCTTGCTGGTGCCTCAGCAATGGGAAAGGAAGAGGGCAACACATGGCCAGAGTTCAGGATAAAAGGAGGCTGTTCCCTCTGAAACCTCAAGAGAGAAAACCCAGTTTGTGTATGCCCCAGTTGACTCTCTCCATTTATTTGAATAAGTTGAAGGACTCATCTATCTCCTTTTTGGACATAAACCTCTGGCATTTGTAGATTTTCCTGACAAAATCCTTCCTTTCATATCCTTCCTAAAGAGGCCCTGCAACAATAGCCAGGACAGAACAAGCTCCAACTGCCTGCCAGAGTCACCAAAACCATGAAGATTTACCTTCCAGTATGGCCTGCATCTGTCAAGACAGACAGCTAAAAAAATACCAGTCATCTAACAAAGTTTAGTAATTTTGGCAAGGGTAGCATTGTTCCCACGATCTTGCATAGCCCATGTTACTGCATGGAATTTGGGTTTTTTTCTTTTCATGTCTAATAAAGGGCTTGATTTGTTATAAATCCATAAACAATGAATTTAAGAAATCACACTGTGTAGTGTTTTGGGCTTGGTTTGTTTGTGGGCTCTGTTCACTTTTTTACTACCTCTACAGCTAACTACTAACCATAAAGAGACTGCTTGTTTGTGCAGGGGCAGACTTATTTTAAATGTTACTTATGCTTTATCAGTAGTCTAGGGAAATGCACAATGATTTTAATTGCATGCATTATTATTTAGTACTTCCAAATTTTTACTGTAATGCAGCTTTGTGTCCTACTTTGACTGGTGTGGGATTGCAAAGAGTATAAAGACTGCTGAGCCATTATCTTTGAGCAGGACAGGTTTTGTGATCTTTCTGTTGCTTCTGTACAATGTCAAGCACAGAAAAGGATCAGAAGAAAGCAACTATGACTTATTTTTGTATTTGCAAGGACTTGCACTGCATAAATAGATGTGTTTAACACAGCCTTTGCATCTGTCAAAGTGAAATCTAATGTAATGTGGTTCACAGAATGCTGATTTTTATATCAAGTATGTTCTGTTCTAATTATATGCAATAAGAGTTTTGTATCATTCTAATTGTATTTATTTAAATCACACAGAAGTAGTCAAGAGAATTCAACAGAGTACAGGGAATAAGCTGTTCTAGGCACACACTTCCAATGCATCAGAGTTATTTAACTGCCACAGAATCATCATGGTATGCTAAGGGACTGGAATGGACCTTAAAGATACTCTGCTCCCAACCCCTCCATGCCATGGTCAGGGACAACTCCCACTAGACCAGGTCGCTCGAGGCTCTATCCAACCTGTCTTTGAACACTACCAGGGTTCACACTGTCATCTGGGGCCTCAACATTTCTGAATATTTTATCTTCTATACATTTTTTTAGGTGAAAATGTGATGTGGTTTCATTTAATATTACTTATACCAAGTATTAATTATATTTTACTGCTGATCAGTGGGCTTTTTTCATGTTAGAATTTTAAACTTTTCTTTTTTGTAGCAAAGCATGGTCTTCCCATAAATCTGAAAAACAAACAGTGGAATCAGTTAACACACATTTCTGATGGGTCATGAAACTGGAATGTATTTAGTAGTGGAAAGTTACTAGTCTCAGTTAAAGACACACCTTTTGACACCGGATGCTCCAGCACACATCCTTGTGGCCATCTGTTATCCTGAATTATTTGCTGAAGTCTGAAAAGAGCTGAGATTTGGTTTTGGTGGGGTTTTCTTCTTGTGTTTTAAAAGTCCAGTATTCTGGTTTTGCAAGCCTAATGCTTGTGCCTGGCAATGCATTTCCTTTGTATGTGCTTAACGTGCTGGGATTAGGATGTCAGACTGAAGTACAGGGAAATGTCTTGCTAATTAGAAGATAATTCTTGGTAGCTTCCAAGCTCTAGGCTGGGTACCTTACAAACAGCTGTGTAGGAACATGATGGTGTTACAGGAAAAATCTGTCAATCTAATGCTATGTTTCATTATCTTTTTTTATTCCATAGTTGTTCAACAGAACAATGCACGCCCATATGCAGCTGAACTATGTATGTTTTTACACTTTCTAATTAGCTTTTTAATCCATACCCTGTTCTAGTACTTTCTGTGTAAATGGGGTGATAATAAATTCATTTTTATGTCTTCAGAAATCAAAGTATGTTTGTTTCAGAAAAGATAAATGACATGATGAACCATTGTCCACCTAAATATTCAATATTTCAAAGAAAAAAACTAAACAAAACCAGGCCCTCTGCTATTGGAAAATTCTGACATTAGTTTAAATATGACTGTCTTTAAGCTGGTTTTAAATGTCTAGCACCATGTTTTACAATACTGGCCATTGTTTGGGGCCATTTTTTGTTTAAATATTCTGTAGATAGGATGCCAACTGTATTTTAATGGTAAAAGATTACAAATTAAGTACATGAAAAAATAAATGTGATAATTAATCTGTGAATGCTATCCACAAAATCAGTGGGCATATTTGATAGCCCAAATCCTTATGTGCTTTCCTTCTGGATTTCATAACAGCACTAGTTCAAATCAATGTTAATCTATGTAATAAGACCTCTGTTCTGTAACTTAATGACATGCAACACATTTGTATCCATGTCATATGAATTGTTACAAAGAGGTATTTACTTGGAAATAGTATTTTTTGCCCTTCAACTGAAGGCCACTGCTCTTGGTAAGAAACAGTGGAAAATAGCATTGTACTATTTTGGTTCATAAAATAAAAAGCAGTTTACATGTAAAATAAACTTCTAGTGAAAATCTTAGTAATGCTAACATGCTACAAACTTTCTAAAAATTTGTTTTGAGGTCTGTGAACATGATTAACGGAGAACTTGTGGTTTATGTTTTTAAATTAGATTCTTGTCCAAATAACAATTCCCTACCCACAGCAGAGGTCCTGTTTCCATTTGGTCTTTAAGCATTTAAGGAGTACCCAATATTGCAATATTTTCCCATATATAGATCAATTTGGCATGTTAGTATACTTCCCTTGCTCCAGCTGACTTAGTGGCACAGTTGCCAAAAGTCCTTTGGGACTTGGCTAAAGAACTCTCACAACATAAAAGCAAACTGCTTGGTTTTTTTTTAGTGGCAAAGGAAACTCCTGTTAGTTTTAAATTAGTCTTGAACAGCACAGCTGTTCTCCCCTGTAGATTTACATTAAACTTGTTGAATCAGCTTGCTTTTATTCCCTGTAACAGAGGTCCTGATCTGCAATTTAGATTTATTCTTGCTTTGTTTTGACCTTGGTAGAGGAACAAAAGCTGTGGTTTTGGCAGACGAGGTTACATGCGATGATCTTTCACCCTGCTGTAGCAACAGAGCATCCATTGCCTTTCATCTCTGCCTCTGGCTTGTAGGGAGGAAAAAAATTTAAAAAGAGTACAAATGTAAAATGTTAGACCATGTCTCACTAGCTACTCAGCTGTGTGCAGGTGTAACTTCTCAAGAAGCTGGAAATAGTTTGAAGAATGGGAATTGGATGGGCTCCTTTGCTGATGAGTTCTTGGAGCAAGCTGGAGGCAGCTCCTGCTAAAAGTCGCTGATTTTTACTGCTTTGCTACAGCCTTATTTTGAATGATGGCAGGGAGTGCAGTGAGCCTCAGAAAAGGGAGAAAAGTGGGTTTTTAGTGGCTGCCTGCTTGTGGAGAGGCCCAGTGATGCTGGAAGAGTGGGCGCTGGCAGGGAGCACATCTGTACCCTTGCGAGACGAGAGTGGAGTGCTGTGCGCGGTTCCGGGCTCCTCAGTACCATAAAAACAAGGAGCTACTGGAAAGGGTCAGTGGAGGCCCCTCAGGGGTCTCTCTTTTAAGAAGACTGGGGGAGCTGGGCCTGTTTAGTCTAGAGAAGAGACAGCTAGGAGGGAATCTCATTAGTGCATATAAATATTTCAAATGTGGATGCCAAGAGGATGGTGCCAGAGACAGTACAGGGACCAATGGCCATAAACTAAAACACAGAAGTTCCACCTCAACATGGGGGAGAACTCTACACTGAGGGGGCAGAGCACTGGAACTGGCTGACCAGGGAAGTCGTGGGGTCTCCTTCTCTGAAGGAATTCCAAACCCACCAGGACGCGTTAATGTAGCACTGTTCGTGGTGACCCTGCCTTGGCAGGGGCTGCGCCTGGGTGATCTCCAGAGGTCCCTTCCATCTCCAACAATTCCGCGACCCCGCCAAACCGCGGCAGGCGCGCCCGCCGCCCGCGGCAGCTCCCAGGGCGCCGCCCAGCCCCAGCCCCGGCCGGGCGGAGCCAGAGCTCGCCGCGCTCGCCGGGAATTGCAGTCCGCCCTCCTCCGCCCTCCTCCCTGCCCGCTCAGGCGGCGGGGCCGCCTCTCTCCTTCCGGGAGCGGCGATTGTTGACTTCCTCGAAGGCGGCGGGGGCGGCGCCGGGCCCCGGGAATTCCCCGCGGTGGCGGAGGGCGAAACCGCGGCCGGGCCGGCGGAGTGGGGGCGATGGGCGCCCGAAGGGGCCCGAGCGGAGACCGCGAGGGGCGGCGCTGCCTGCCCGCCGAGCTGAGCGCCCGCCGCTGAGCGCCCGGCCCAGCGGGGCCCGGACAGGTTGGTGCCGGCGCGGGGGGAGCGCGGGGCGGCCGCGGCCGGGCTTTCCCCGCTGTGCTGGGAAGCTTCTGCCCCGTGGAAGAGGAGCGACTGTCCCTGGGAAAAGAGGCTCGTCTGTCGTTTCTCTCCTTAAAAGAGAGTCGTCCTCGTAGAAGCCCAGAATTGTGAGGGTTGGAAGGGAGATCATCTAGTTCAACCTCCCTGCCAAGGCAGGGTCGCCTCGGGCAGGTTACAGGTGACGTGCAGGTGGGTTTTCATTGACTCCAGGGAGGGAGACTCCACGCCCTCCCTGGTCAGCCTGTTCCAGTGCTGTGCCTCCTTCATGTAAAGTTCTTCCTCATGTTGAAGTGGAACTTCCTGAGTTTCAGTGGGAGCAGCCTGTCGGTCGTGTGCCGTGTCCGTGCCCAGTGGCACTTGGCCGGAATAAGGAGACATCCCGTGGGGGACGGTGAGCAAGGCTCACAGGCACCGCTACCAGGCTGGGGCTGGGCCCCGGGCAGGCTGCTAGGCTGGTCACAAAGTGCCTCTGACCAAGCTGAGAAACTGCGTGGGTTCTTGGGGCTGCAGTTTGTGCCTTGGTACAGAGGAGTCTGGCAAAGGAAGTGAGCAAAGAAGGACTACAGGTGTGAAAACAGAAACACGATGGAATTTTGGAGCTGACAGGAATACAGGTGCTGCAGGAAGTGTTAATTTGGAAGAAGGAAGTGCAGATCGACGTTGAGGTAGTTGTGTATGCCAGTGGTGCTTTAAACTTTTCAGAAAATGCCTCTTGAAATCCTGGTGTTTCACCTGGTAGGGAAAATACCCTTATCTCCTTAAATAAATTGGTCCCCTAGCAACTTAGAAGTGAGTGTCAACTGTTCCAGCGAGTGCTTTTAGGAGTTTTATGTTTTTTAAGGAATCCTTTCATTTCCCCACTTCTTTTCACTGTATGTGTGCAGTAAAATCAGTGTGCTGGAAACAGACTCTGGAAGAAGTGGAGTTAGGGGAGAATTATTGCCAGGACAGTAAAGTCTGCTCTGGACTCCAAAGGTTAGTTTCTCTTCTGAGACAGTTTTCTGGGAGATGTGGTTATGAGCTATGGGAAACTTGTCATTTCCTGGATGGGGGTGTATGATCACATGCTTCTGCTGCTAATAATCCAAATTATCTATTCCAACATCTATTTTAGAATTTTAGTAACTCTATTAGAATTACTGTAGAAATCAAAAGAAATCTAAGATTATGACTACTTTTTGTTCTTTGAATAATTGCTGTTTAATAGCAGGACTTTTGTTAGAAGTGTTTACCAGATCATTGTCTTATAGCTTAAGTAGATTATTATTGCCTCAAATTTTAAGCAGAATTTGTTCATCTAAACTCTCAGTGAAGTCAGAAAACACTGGTTGACTGAACTCTAGAGTGGACTATATGAAGGGTTTAGCCACCTTCTCACTCCCAACACCAGTATTTTTTGCTAAAATTTATAATTATTCAGAACCTTGTTTGCTGCATTTGCAGTTTAGGAAAGTGTGAGGTGACCGTTGCCCAAGCACTAGCTAGGTTATGTTTTACAATGAAAATTAAATAGTAAACAGTTTTTCAAAAGAGCAAAGAGGTTGAAGTGACATCTTTGTGCAGCAAAAATGGGTAAGAAATTAGAGATAATTTTAAGATTGCCTAAATTTTAGCAAGTATTCTACTTTGGTTTTCAGTGTATCTGTTTTCTATGTGACACTCAAAAGGTGGCGAAAGTGTGAAAATTATTGGTCAAATATATGAACAAACTGTACTTACTGTACTCAGGGCAGAGCAGTAGAGTAATTTCATCTCACAGCATTGGAAAATCAGTTATTGCAAATGCAGTAATATTTGTTTGTATTATTTCAATAGATGCATTGAATTGGAGATTGTGCACCATAAAATGTTGAATGTGGGTTGCCTACTTAGGAAATTGGAAACTCCCCTGTCACTGCACGTGCTATCTATATCTGGTTTCTTTAGAACAGAATTTGAAGAAGAGAACATGTGGAAGGAAACAGGATAAAATGCAGTGTGGGTTTACCTTTTGATAAATGGTTTTATTCTTTCACAGGGGTTTTCTAGACAGCAGAAGTCTGACAGTCCACATTGAATAAAACAGTGATAATGAGATCCAGTTTGCTATGATGGCAATGACAGTATTAACAAAGGGGTCAGGATAGGGACCAGCTTGGTAGGAGTCAGTGGGGAGTTCTTCTGAAGGAGACTTCATATGTGTGTCCATTATCCATGGTTCACTTTGGACGCAGTCTTATATTTTTGCTAAATGTTTCTACTATAATTGTATTAATTAACTAATGTACATTATTATATTATGTTTTTATGTGGAGTTCTTAGTGTATGAAATTGTAGATGCAACTAAAATTTGACAGGACCTTTGGGAAGAAGAAATTAAGGCTGAGAGGGTAAGTGAAGCATAAATGGCTTGAATATTAGAAGTCATCCACTTAGAAGCTTCTAAGTGGAACTTAGGTTCAAATAACCAGGTTTGTCTGAAATATTGCAATATAAATCTGAATATTGAACTTTAGAAGACAGCCCAAGTTGAAAAGGACCTGGGAAGACCATCTGGTCCCCCTGTAAAAGGGAGCCCAGATCAGATTTGCTGGCATCCTGTCTAGTTGTGTCTTGGAAACGTAGAGATGTTGTGTTAGTGAGTTGCATGCAGGATGACCGAGGGCCATCGGTGAGACTCACTTGCCATCCAGTAGCTGTAACAGGTGAGGCACACTTCCAGTTGAATTAAAAGTTAATGCAATTACAAAAGGCTTGTCACTGAACTTGTGAACTCACTGAATGATAATTAATCTCTTTAATTGAATAGAAGGAAACTTGTGACTGGGAGATAGGACTTGCTGTTTGGTTTACAAAGCAAAATATATAAAAAAAAAAAAAAAACAAAACAAATCCTCTAAACTTTTGGAAATAGTTATTCCTTATAAATCTTTTGAAATGGGAAAGAATGAACAGCAAAAGAAGGGTTTCAGTAGCCTTTTAAGATACATATATTTGGTGCTAGAAATGTTTTAACAGCCAAAAGCCATTTTGCTCCTACTTATGTTTGTTTGACAGTATTGCTTGTAATTACTTTCAACATTAAATGCAATAGTTTAATAAACAGGATTATATGATGCTGAAAGGATAATATTTTATTGATTCCTACTTCTGGGTTTTTATTTTCCCCCTTTTCAGGTAGTTGTCAGGGAAGGTGATTATTGTGACAGCATCCACAGAAGGGCAGATTGAATACATTACAATGCATAATTGAGGATGCATAAGGTTTGCAGATTCGCAGTGGAGGTACTGGAGTCTGACACTGTTCAGAGAAAGTAAAATTTATCAAGTGCTGTTGTCATAAAATGGGCTTTTTATTGCTTTTCTGGTTCTTGTGAGAGTAGATTATTTATTTCAAAAACCTTGAGATTGAAAAAAAATTGCTTGTTGTACCTGAGGAGATTTGGCTTTTGTAGCTTACCCAGATGTTCAGGATAGATGAGCTGCAGTGATCTGGTGTGTGAGCTCAGGAGACAGTGAGTTGCCATTTCCTGAAGGCAATAAAACGAAAGTGCTCTGGAGGTCTGATACAGCTCACATGCTGACGGAGCACTGGGTACACTGAGAGGGCCGGGCTGTGCCCCTGTGCTCAGGGACTCTGGGAGGACGCTGGGCCTGTGGACTTTGGCCACTGTTCATCCTTTTGTATGGCCAAAGTAGCAGCTACTGAGGTGTGTGAACATTGTTATTACTCTTTAAAAATGGAGCACTTATGTGTAAAAAGTGATGCCTTTCTCTGTAGAACAGTCTGTTCACAACTGGAATCAAAGAGAACCTAAGATTTCTAAAGGTGATAAGTGATGGATGCTTAAAGAGACTGGAAGTCTTGCTTGTTTTGACATCTTGTGTCATATGCTCCAAGTACTGTGTGGAGTTTTTGATGCTGGCTGCAGGAATTCTGTATTATTCCTTGCTGTGCTGAAGTATATTTAAAAAAAAAAAGAAGAAAAAAAAAACAGTACATCTTTTCTGAAGTTAAGCTGAGGATTGTAACATGCTCACTCAGGATTCCTTTGGTTCAAAGGCATTTCTTGAATTTAAAGGGTTTTTTAATGTTTGCATGCATATATGTATACCCCTCTCTGTAAGGCAAAATAAATCAGTACAAAAATTATGCTGTTATCAACAGCTGGAAACTGTTCATACTACCATTATGAAGTCAAACCCTTGGAGTCTAGAAGGCAAAGAGGAAAACAGCCTTGAAATTATTTGCATTAGATATTTGGAAATATTTTGAAAACTGTTTCATTCTCTTTCAAATCAACTGTTAGGCCAAAATGAGAATCTGCTTCATACTGGGAAAAATTTAATGTAATCCTGCTTTTACTATCTCTCCTTCTGATCTGAGAATAAGATTAGCATTTCAAACTACAGAGCACTGTTTGTGCAGTGGTCTGTTTGCTATTAGAGCCTCTGCATCCCATGCTTCTTGTATGTAGAATGTGTTTTATATTTAACTGCCTCCCATGGTGTTAATGACTAGTATTCATAAAGCTCTCTAAAGAGAAAAGCGATGTTTCTGCCAAGCATTATTAAGATATGGGAAAACATTATATTGCTCAAAATGTTCATTGTATTGAATCAAAGCTGTTCTATAACCTGTGTTGAGCAACAGAAGTGGTTCCTGTTAATTCTTCTTTTCTTCACATTATGTGAAAGAAAACTGAAGTGGTGCCACCTCTTCAAGCTCATTTGCTTATAAACAGGGAACATAATTAGTCCTGCTAGAACTTAATACTGTTTCCTGTCAACAGTGTATTCAGGTTGGGTTTTTTGTTTGTTGGCTTTTAAACACTGGTTAGTTAATACAAACAGTAGTACTAATACTCATTTAATGTATTTTTGGACATAAAGATTAAAGTCCTTTTAAGCAGGCTGTTTTGTGTGCAGATCATTCTAAAGCGTAAATGAAATATATTTATCACAGGCAAAATACTTGGCAAATGTGCTGAAGTAAAGGGAGTAAAAAGTATTAGGAAGACCTTTCTTGGGATGGGATTGTGTGGTAAATGGGATTGTGAAATTTGCTTTAAGGAGGCTGAGATGGACATCAGTTGTATTCATGGACATGAACTTGTCAGTATATTGCTTCAAATATTTTCGTGAGAAATCTTTCACTTGAACTGGTTACTGTAAGACAGATTATCTCATGAATTGCAGCTCCAGAGAGGTCAAAATTCCCTCAGGTGTTTCAGAGTGTCAGCTCTGGAGCATTTTCAGCAGTGCATCCGAGTGTGACTGAATTAGGAGAAATCAAACACATTAAAACAGGGCAGAAGTCTGTGGCTGAACTTGGTGAACCATCCTGAATGCCCTCCTGGTATTCTTCTTCCAGATTTCAGGAGTTGTAACCTGCGGAATAATCAAAACACTTATTTGATTGTTGCTGTCAGTTCGTATTTTTTTAAATGAGATGTAGTATAGTATTGGGGGATCTAAATTTTGATTCCTGTCCTTGAGTGAAATTGAATACTATAGCTGTAGATGGGGGCTTCTTACAGACAGCCCTTTTTTATGAGGGTTATATAAAGCCCTTTTATACTGAGGGTTTCTTTCTATCCTGACAGCAAAAAAAAAAAAGCTGGGTGAGCTGTACAGTTCACCATGGCCTTTTATATTACTGCTGATCTTGAACTGTTCAATGGCAGTTTGTCATCACTTAGTGTGCAATACAGTTAGTCAAAAATGTGTATATTGGATTTTTTTGAACTGTAACTTGGGTGTAGAAATTTAGAAAAGCATGCAAAGTCCCTTTGAATTATGTGGAATTATATGCTTGTCTTCTAAATAATCTCCAGTTCTGGCTTAGAGGGCAGCATCAGAAAACCCAAGTTGAATAATGCTATAAACTGAGATCTTTCAAGTAAGAAAATGTTGGAGTAACTGGTCTTCCTAGCAGGTGCTGGTTAGGTAAGTGTGTACTTGAATTCATAAAATAGTATTTGTGTGTGCTGAGTCTTATTTGGAAGGTGTTTGTCTCTTGGAAGCTCATAAAGGCGTTTTAGTTAACAGAATGCAGAAAAAAGAAGGTCTTGTTTTCCCATATTGCCATCTCCTGGTAGCACTGATGTGTGCAAGAAGTAGGGCATGTATGATGCTCAGGAGCTATAGGAAAGCATGGGGACAAAGATCTATGTTATGTACAAGGTCACAAATCTGGTGCTTTCTTTGAGAGATAATGATAAGCTGTGACACTTCTTTAACGACATTTGAGTCAAGTGTTCCGAGAAAAGGCAATGTGTTGCCTTGAGAGGGCAACCTCTTGGGAATTTGATGAGATGGTGACAAAACTTGCAGAGCCTTTGGTGAAATGGGGGAGGATAAGCTGGTGTGTTATGCTCATCTTGGAAGACAAAATGAGCAATTCCTTCAGTCAGTTAATGCAGTTTGAATGACGTGGTGCTTTTGGTCAAGGTCACCTTGTGCATGGAGGGATACTGTTCTTACAATGCAAAGGAAGCAAACCTTTCTTGCAGGGTTCTTTCTACTTAAATGACACAAAAATCACAGGATATTCAAGGTAGAACAACAAGCAAGGGAAGCTTAGGCTACTTTTTTTGTCAGAATGCATCAAACAATGTACAAGGCATCTATTCACCTCCTGAATATAACCATTAAAAAGAGTTCAGCTTTGGTTTGTATTGTTCTTGTCTTTTTTCACTGTTGAAAAACTCCACTGCTGTCTTATTTAGTAGAAATGAGCTGTCACAGTTTTTTATCATGTTGTCTAACTGGCTTGGAGCAAATTGAGACAAATGTGATAACAGCACTATTGTTCAGCAGTAGCTGTACTACAGTTCTTAATGCTGCACTCTGAAAGCTTTTCAGCGTGGTGAGAGAAATTTGACCATATAGACAAGCTCCAGGCCTTTACTTCTTATAATCTATAAACAAATGGAAGTCTAGTTTGAATTCAAATAGCAGATACACAGTAGAAGCAGCAATTGTGGTCACGGGAGTTTTTTTGCACTAATGCCTGCCTTTTCAGCAAGGTTCTGCTGATCAAGTAGGTTTTCTGTTGAAGTAAGTTTTTCCTGCAGTACAAAAAGCTGTCTTCATTATGCTCAGTTCTTTCATTCCAGCATTTTTGTTGGTTCATTTGCTAATCATCAGGTACCTAAGGATTTGTTGAAGGGGAAAAATATAAGAGTCTGCTTTTTGTAGAAGTCACATCACTAGTTTGTTTAAAGTGGGGTGGTATTATCAGGCACTTTGTAGCATATCTTAGCATGCATAGGAATACATGTAATTTTGATGTTCATAGCTAAATGAGATGTGTCTTTTTTTGGTTGGTTATTTTTGCATTTTGGAGGTTGGCTTGTTTTTAAATGAACCCCAAAACTTGTTCCAGATAACTTGTAACTCTTAAGGAAAATGCTTTTGGGGGTTTTCCATTGAGACCTATTGCTCAAGAAAATATATAGTATTTCTTTAAGATGGTATTTTCTTATTGAATGTTTTGCTGTGCCTGAATGATGCAGGTTGTAACAAAAATTCAGTGTAACATCTGCTTTGCATTTGTCATTCAGGTGGATCTGCCTGGTATTTTAGAGAGACATTTTACGAATGATCAGATTATTGTCAGTTTTCTCCACACATACTGAGGCAGGTTATGTTACTGTGCATGTTTTCATTCTCATCATATTTTCAGTCAAAAATTACTGTAATTGTTCAGAAGGAGGTTTTCTACTGTGACCAAGGAAAGAATAGCTACTTATGCAGTCTCTTTAAGGACAAATAAAAGTGTAATTTAAGATTCTGTCTTAACATTTGGGAACAATGTAAGTATTTGCATTCAGAAATAAAGAGGCTTTGGCACTTGTGCTCAGGAACCACAGGAGTTGGTTGATTTGTTGGAACTGTACTCTTTCACTGCTCAGTGCTGGCTTGCAAAAGCTTTGATATAAAATTCCTTCGGAGTTCAGATAGTTGGTACCAACCAAATTCTACATTGGTGTTAAGACTTAATAAAAATTAATTTGATGGTTCATCTGTATCTGATAGGTGCTCAAAATATTTATGTCAAGTAACAGTGAAATGTGTCTTTTCTACACAGTGTATTTTCAAGGTGAAATTAATTTCAAGATTTTTCTGTGATATTAAGACTCTTCCTGATTATTCATCTTGTCTTGTCATACTTAGACAGAAACACCCTGCAGTATTACTTCAGAAGGTTTTCAGATTCTTGATGAATCTGTCTTTGTGAAAACTTAGCACTTATATCTGTCTTTTTAACAGCTGCCATGGAGGAGTTGGTAGAGGATGACATCTGTATTTTGAACCATGAAAAAGCAGATAATGCTCACAAGAGAGACAGCGATATTCCTGTTCCATCCTATAGTGGAGATGAGTCTGTTGCCTCACATTTTGCACTTGTCACTGCATATGAAGATATCAAGAAACGACTGAAGGAGACAGAGAAGGAGAACTCCTTCTTAAAAAAAAAAGTGAGACTTCTGGAAGAGAAGGTAAGAAAACAGCTGATGTACCAGTTTCTGGTAGCAGCTTCTTTTTTTGCTCCTGGCTAAATGGCAGAGAAGAAGGTTAAGGATTTGAAATATACACTTGAAATAATTTCCATGTTAAAGAGTTTGTATAAATTGTTTTATTTATTTAAGTGAAATGCAGTTTGCTCCTCTGGTATTTATGTCATACTGGCATTTTTGCTTCTCACTGGGCACATATATGATGCAATGCAAAGAGAGTGGCTGATTCCGACAGATGTGTAGTTGCATAGAATTTGTCACTGTAGTTTGGATGCCTCTTAATGGTATTTATTAGCTTGGGCACACGTGACACAGTATTGTTAAACAGTGAGGTGCAAAGCTTGTAAATTATCAGAATCCAGGAAAAGTCTAGCAAAAGACTCTTGGGCTCAGTATACCAAAATGATAAGGAAAAATTGGTTGCTAAGAATATCCAGCTAGGTCTAGCTAATCACTGTCTCAAGCATGAAATGCGAAATTACAATGCCTAACCTAGATGTTGGCTGGCTGGATTTTGATGCAGTAATTCTAAAATATAAATGAATGTTTCAATTTGTTTTATAGGCAGTTTCTCATGGCCATAAACTAGCATAGTTCATTTAAGCTAAAAATTGACCAAAGCACAGGTTTTTCTCTGCAAGTAAGGAAGGCCGCGATTAAATGTATATCCATTGTTCCGCACCAAGTGTCTTTGTACTGCAGAAGTTCTTGACTTTGGTAGATTGCTTTCTTATATAAGATGCAAAGATAAATCCTAATGTTAAAGCTGAGCCAGTTTTTTACCATTTTCTGCTAACTCTGCTACTGGCTTAAAAGTTTTCCAAGTGTGTATTATTTTGTGGCATTGGAATGAAGGACTTGAGTCACACTTGGCACAGCTTTGAGACACTTATTTGGGAATTCTTGGTGAAGACAGGATTGACTTTTTCTCTAAAAGGAAAACTGTCTCAAGACTGTCTTTATATAAGGTTTGGGGGGATGTTGGGAATAGGAATAGAGCTTTAGACTTGAACCATACTGAGTGTAACATCTTTTATGTTGTTACTCAAAATCACAGTAAACAGGATTTGACCTTGACAGTTCCTTTTGTTTTGTCTTTTGGTTTGGCCTGGTTTAGCTTAATTCTCTTGAAGATGCTACTTTGTTTTCTGTAAAGAAAACTTTTTAGTACATGAATACCATTAAAATGTTTCTATGAGGGAGGGGTATTGAGAAGGTCAAGACTGTTAGTGGCTTTCAGTCTTTGTCAATAGCTAATGTACCTGTATACTTTAAAAATATATGGGGAGTTACTCCTTTGGAGTTTGTAATTGTGCATGGAAACTTCCAGAAAGTTTATTAAGGCTTGTGTTCTATCTGAGTGGCTTTATTAGGGGGAGAAAAATACAAAGGACGAAATTTAAAAGGAGTCATACACATGCAAAAAAACCCCAAAGGGCAGGAGCTTCCTATCTCTGTGGCTTGTTTTCACTTTCTTTCAAGCAAACACTTAAAAAAGGATATATTTATATATTTATATTTATTTATATATATAGATACATGAGTGTGAGTGCTTTGTTTTAATAATTTTTTCCATGACTCCTAATTTTTAAGAAAATATGTGCAAATCTGTTGTGACTATCTGCAAGAGGAACACTTAAAGGAAGTGTGCAGGATAAAATAATTGAAAAGGAAAATACATTACTTAATTAAAGCAAGAACCTTTTATATCAATTGATATAATTTGATGTAAGACTTCTTTTCTTTCTGTCTTATTAAAAACACTGAATATATTTTAACTGTGTTCCCCTTTCTCTAGCAATCCAGTGGGTAGTAATTATTCTGCCTTGCTTGCCTTTTGCCATAGAGGGCAGTGAGATGGTGGTGATCTGAAAGTTAATAGATATGTGTAAAATTATTCTGCTTTGGCTTTTCTTACATAAATACACTGAAAGAAACATTTACATTATGAGGCATTTAAGAAATTATGGTTGGCTTCCTTTGATCTTTCTATATTTTGTTTCTTTATATACTTAAAACTTCTTTTTCAAAAAGCAGTTTACATTTTTTCAGAGCCCAAAAAAAATATGGTTAAGGGATTGTTAGTGGGAGTAATCATAACTTATGAATGGTTTTTAAGTACTTATAGGAGTGAACTCATAGTAGTCTACTGGAAAGTATCCCTGTCCATGGCAGGGAGTTGGACTAGATGAATGTCCTCTTCCAACTCAAGCTACTCTATGATTCTATTAACTAGTGAACATTAAGTATTGTTAGAGATTTCAGAGTTTGTAGAAAGCCTTTGTTGCATGTTCATCAAAAACTTTGACCTGTATCAGTATATTTGATTAATTTGTTATGTAAACTGCAAAAAAGGGAAAGCTGTTAGATTAATATTGCAGGCTGTACCATTGCCTTTTCAAACTTTTGCAGTTCCCAGCATAACATACAACGCTTCTCACTTCTCCTGTGTGTTACACTTTCAGGTGCTTGGTTCCCGGCTGGAAGAGGAATGCAGCTCAGTCGGGCGGGAACAAGTCAATAAGGCCTACCAAGCCTACCGAGAGGCCTGCATTGACCGGGATCACTTGAAAAGCAAACTGGAAAAATTGGTGTGCCTTTTTAAGTAATGACTTCAGTGCATGCTTTATCAGCACTGCATAGTTAGTACATGTTTACTGTAGAATTAACTGTATATACTTAAGATCTGTGGTGTTGATTTTATTACTTTTAAAGTACATGACAATGCTTTCCATAGAAATAATGATTTAAAGTACCTCAGTTTAATTACTGGGCGAGAATAATGCTAAAAAAAGTCAAAGCAATATTTTTTGTTCTGGTATTTGTTCTAAAATATTGAATTGTCAGACATGATAGAAAAATGCTTCACAAATTATTTTGGGTTGGGGTTTTTCTCCCCTCTGAAAATAGGCAAAAGAAAGTGCAGAATCCTTGAAAAACTTGAATGATCAGTTGCAATCTAAAGAAGTAGAGCTGTTACAATTGAGAACTGAAGTGGAAACTCAGCAAGGTATGCATTTGATTATTTCATCTTAAGTTATGTTGAGGAGCTTTAGTGGTTATATTGTGATCTTGGGGCACAAAAAGGTTTAACTCTATACAGGGGCAAGGTAAGAGAGGCATGAACAGCAGTTGAGGTACTTTGAACTTGTCTTCATTCTCATAAATAGTGATGTGTATATTCTGAGGCTGTTGTGTTCTTCCACCCTAGGTGATGTACAAATTTGAGAAATGGGCACCACCTAACAGTTTATAGGCTGTGTCATGTACATCTCTGGACCCCACCACGTTTTCCTCAGAGCAGGGCAGAGGCCTGTTCAAGTATAAAGATCATTCAGTCAATCCCACTTCCTCTGGCACCTGCAGAGTATATTGCTTTGTCTTGCTGTTGGGATATGACAAATACAAGAGGATGTTGTATAGCAATAGCTGCTGTTGCCAACAGTTACTTAGATGGTTGGGAAATGAGGAAAAATATAAAGATGTTGGTTGTAGAGAGCTGGTGAAAAAAGGAAGGAGAAACTAACAGTACATCCTGGCAATTCCACAAGTCCAAATCTTGCTTCTCTTACTGCAGTTGTAAAGACCGCTCTGTATGTGATAGATGCATAAAACACACACCATGGAAGAAAAGAACCCTTGATTAATTTAGTTAGAAAAAAATGCCATCTGTATAGAGAAATGGACTGACTTCAGAGTCTGTACAAATGCAGTAATTTGAAAGGTACTTTTGAGTATGGCTGTGCTTGAATTGGATTACTCTCCAAGAGGACCTTAAACATTTAATGCACTACTTCAATTGCATAAATGTTTAAACCTAGAAAAACAAATTGCAGGTAGTGCTCATATCACTGTTGAGGGCCTCATCATTTCAGGAGGTAAGAATTGCAGAGTTTTTAAGGAGAGCTCTGAAAATGATGATTTCAATCCTTATTTATAACTCAGTTTTACTCATAAGTGGACTCTGAGTACCTTGTTTGGAAAAAAAAAAGGAATCAATGTAACTTAAGGTTGTTTAAACTACTAAATCTGAAAATAAGTGTACCACACAATTGAAGACTTGTGGGTTTTCTTCTGGTCATGTTCCTCCTTTTCTTGCTGTCTCGCTAATGCCCTGCTACTGATCTGATGGTAGCATCATTGTTACCATGTGAATTGCTTCAGTCTAACAAGATTTGTGTAACTTTATGCTTTTCCCCTTTTGTTTTAATTGTATATTTTGTTGTTCTGTGCTGAACTTCTCAATATTAAACTTGGGGAAAACTTAATGGTAAATGATGTAACAATGCAAATCTGAGGGCAAAAAGGCTTATGTTTTCAAAGCATGTAAGAAGTATGCAAGCTGGCATATATGATGTGTATTTGCCATAAATTGATGTTTTTTATTTCCAGTGCCTTTTTATGCTTGTACTTGCTTTTTCTCTGTGTCAAAACTCCAGTGCATTCCTAGAAAGTAGGGCTCCATGCTTTAAACCCAGAAAATAGACCACCTCTGCCAGCAGCATTACCAGTGCTATATTTCCCTATTGCCATAGACTCCAGTTTCTTCAGAATATGATTTTTTGTAAAGCATGGGCTGATTGAAGATCATCTTGCATATTGAGTTACATTCTTTGGACTGAGATTGGAATCTGATTGTCTTGTTTGTCTTTTTTACAGTGATAAAAAGTCTGAATTGTACTCAGGCTAACTGGGAATTAGAGAAGCTGAACAGTGACCTGAAAGTGCATAGTCTGGAACAGGATCTAGAAAAACTCAAGGAAGAGTGCAACAGTCTCAGGAAGGAGTTGCAAAATTCCAAGCAGAAGGTACCTTAATTTTTAAGGAATTTTTGTATTAATGGTTAGTTTTAAATCCTGTGGTCAATCAAAATCAAGGGTTAACAAAAATATGAAGTATACAATTGAGTGAAAGATTAATGTCTTGGTAAAATTAACCTTAAATATTTTCATAGACCATCATTTTTCTTGGAAATAGGGACAGGCTTTTCAGGGGAGTGTTCATGACATCAAGCCTGTCCAAATTTAAGAAGTGTCTGGATGATGCTCTTAATTAAAAAGTTTAGGTTTAGGTAGTCCTGTAATGAACAGGGAGTTGAATTTAGTCCTTATGGGTCACTTGTAACTCCAGATCTTCTATGATTCTATACAGGTGAGATTTCCCAGCCATTGCTCATATAGCAACAGAAAATAAAGCTTTATGATTTTTTATAAGTAGCCACTGAAGTTCTGTGTAAGCTGGGCTACTAAGAAAGTTTGGATTTATTATTTTTTTTTTTTTTTTAACAACAACAGGATGCTCTGTTGGTGTCATAAACTTTGTTTAAGGAGGTCTGGTGTTTTTCTTTAGGGTAGTTGAACAAAGCTTGTCAGGAAAGTACCTCTTTTGGCACCCTTTCTTGCCATTTCTGGGGAAAATATCTGTTCTGAGGGATACATTTTGTAACCTAGGCATTGTTAGGATCTCAAAAAGAAAAGATAACACTAACAAAAAGCAGTAAGTTATTGTCTAGTGCATTCTTTCTGCTTTCCATCTTACCTTTGATGAAAGGTACGGTGCCAGTCTCTAGGACTCTGCAGTCACATTGAAGTTACACAGTGAATGTAAAACATCTAAATGTGATTGTTTGAGGAGGCAGACTGGTTTAGATTCCTTCTGGTTAATCATGATGATTATGTAATCTGGAATCACACAGCATTTGAGTGAGTCTGCATTTTTTCCACTAGGTGGAGATAAAGCATGTGAAAAGCATATGCATATGATAAAGCATATCGTTAACTTCCCTTACTGTTGGCTGTTTCACTTGGGGCTGGAGCTGTTTCAGGTGCTTTCAATAACTTCTAACATCTGAAGGCTTGCTGTAACTTGTGTGAAGGTCTGGTGGCCTCGGGTACGTCTAGAACAGAATAACAGCTGCATAAATAATTGCAGATTGTATTGCGAGAGTGAATGATGTCAGAGAGAACAGACTAAAATGGCATGTGATACTGTTTAAATTATGTTTATGCCAGCAGTTTTTGTTGCACAGAACAAATACAGGGAACAGCTTTTTGTTTTGTTTTGGGGGGTTTTGTTACAGTGGGTTTTTTGTCTTTCATATAATTTTCCCTTGATCCTGGTAACTGCTTAATACAGGAAATAAAAAAGTGCATGTTTTCAAATGTGGGTAATACAGTGCAACTTTTTTTTAAGCTATGAATTTAAATCTTTGGGAGATGGTGAGAAAGTTCAGGAGGGAAGATCAATAGGCAATGACAAATCAGCATTATTTCAACTCTTGTGGTATTTTCATTATTGCTTATTTTCATTATATTAGCTAACATCTAATGAAAGTAAGTAATAATGAAAACAGGAAAACATGTTTTCAAATGTTTTCTACCTTAGGCAAGTGTACTTTTGATGTTTCTGTACTTTTAGGTATTCTTACTCAAGTTTTAGATTGTAGTTGATGCAGTGTGTACATTGTATTGACAAGTTGCTTGAAATACGTACAGCCTGTCTTAAAGCCACTGTAAAGGGATGAAATCCATAACAGCTTTGGCTAGAGGGAATGATAGGAAAGGAACGCAGAAAGAAGGGATATGAAAGGGAGGGAGCTCATCACAACTGAGGGTCCAATAGAAGCACAGCTAACAAAGTGAGCCCAGTATTTGATTTGTTGAACAGCCCTGGTAAATTCAGTGTGGCTGCCTATATGGGCAATTTTATAGTCTTTCAGACTGAAGAGGTAAATTACGTCGTAAAAGTAACTTGTGGAAATAAATCTATACTGAAACGGTTTCCTTTAACTCAAAGATCTTTATATATTGTGCCAGAGAGAGAACACAAAAAGACTGTTTAAAAAGCAGAAATTGAGAAAGACTTTTCATGTCCATTTAAGAAAGTAATCAGTCTCTAATTCTGAGATTTCAACTGTTTTCAAAAAGAAGACTATGGAAGCAGCTGAACAATGCCTTTTTATAAGTAGGTAGTTTAAGCAATTTTTAGTGGAAATTCTTAGTAGAAGTCTTTATTTTTCTTTTGAAACCCACTGCAGCTAACACAAATAAAGACTACTTTACTTGTGAATTTCAGTATTAGGCAAATTGGAGTTTCACTGATGTTTTTTGAGAAAGAAGATCTGAAATAATGTTCATTCATTCTTTGTCTTCCCTTCACTCTGTTATGCAGGACCGGACTCAAGAGGAAAATCCATTACATGGAGACCACCTTCAAAGGCAAGACATCCAGAGGTATGAAATATTTTATTTTCAGTTTACTGAGTTCAACTTCAGTTAGTTGAACAAGTAAATTATTCTTGAAATAACATTCTTTAGGTGTGTTGTTTCAAGTTACATCATTTTATTGAAAGTCTAGGCATAGTTATTTAGCAAAATCATTGTACATTTTTTTCTTTGTGTTTGTAGTTCAGGATGATGATGATGACTATTTAGTTATGCCTCTTGGTGCACTTACAGCATTTTCCACCAGAGGGAAGAGCAGCCCTTCACAATGCCAGGCTTTAGTGCAATGGGCCTTGGTGTTTCCTTGGGTGTTGAAGAGACTTTTCAGCCACTGAAAGAGAACATACAGACACTTCCCATCATCTATTCTCTGGTGCAATGATGCTAACAATGCACACACTACACACAAATCACACTTTTTCCTTTCACCTTGACTGATACTTATTCCTGTGGTTCCTCTCGGAGCTTTGCAGTCAGCCTCACATGACTGATAAAAGATGTTCTCTCAAGACACAGCAGTTATCTCTTTGGTCACTGCTCTGATCAATCTGATCATTTGATCAAATAATTATTGATCAGAATATGTTTATTCCACCACGTGGTACTCCAGGTGGCAGCTATCTAAAATAGCATATGGACAGTATAGTGTTTATTGTAATATAAATACTGAATGTGTAATAAATATGTAAGCCCATCCAAAAATCTGTGGAGAAGACACTTGAAAAACTTCCTGTGAAAAACATTTGTTGTAGCAAGCAATCCTGCTTCTTATAGAAAATGAAGGCATTTGCACCTAGTTAACTTTCTGGAAAGTAGTTATTTCATATTTGTGAGCAGCTTGCCAATTTGACTTTAAATTCTCAGTGTGTAAATCTAATTTGCTGTCGATTTAAACAGGCTGTCATAGTGAAGGTTTATATTACATGTTAGAAGGCAGTATAGAATAAACATCCAGGCACAGGGAATCCTTGGTTTTTCAATTACAAATTCCTTGAAAATTAGGCTTTGCAATGGGATTCTAAGATGGTATCCCCAAAAACAATTAAAATTTGTTGCATGTGATTTAAGTGGAATTCTGGTACCTGCAGCCCTTTGCAAGATACTTGGAAAAGTACTAAATGTGTTTTAAAAAATTCATCCAATCACTTTCCTTCTGGTTGGTTGCAGACACTTGAGCTGTCCTTACATTTGCCATTTTGTGTTAAATATTGGACAGTTCTGGTTTGACATAACTGAAAATTTGATCTTATTTTTTAAATCAGAACATGAGAGTTAAGGAAGTGTGGTTGCCACATCAGCTTTAAAATTAAGTTGTCATCTCTTAAGAGTTGAAAGAGCCAAAAAGTCTGCAGTAGAAAGGCCACAGCTTTAGCTGAACTTATTGAAATATCAATTCTGAAAATTTTAACTTTCTCAAAATTGCTGACACTTAATATGTTATTTATTAAAATAACACCTTCCTGTGTTCTTTAATAGAGCTTTATTAATCTGGGTGTTTGTGTTCTGGGGAAGTATTTCTGTAGATAGAAGTTCTATTTCTTTGTTTTAAGGGAACTCTCTTAGTGTTGACTTGCATAATAGCTACTTCTCAGAGTAATTTTGAAGACATTTGTGCTTGATATTTCTTGCAGGAATGACCCTATATTGCTATTTTTGAACGGTAGCATTACATACAGTTAAAGCTTATTAATTCTTGCTCATCTCAATAGCTTGAAATACTGAGCTGTTTTTAAATAAATGCCTTTTAGTAAATGTAGTGAGGAAGAAAAAATCTGGAAATTTTCATCCATTATATTTGTCTTCAATAAATGTGTTTTGGTAGAATGTTAAGCGTTAAAAAAACATTAAGTCATTGAATTCATGTTTAAGTCAGAGTAACCACATCCTTATGTCTTTGAACACTAAGTTAATTATTAATCAACATAAATGTGACATTCAGTGAGCCTCTGCTAGAAATTTTACCAAGAAACATATGGTAATGCTGACTTTTCTTTTTTTCCTCTTAATTTTCTTACCAGTTATTAACCTGAAACATCAGTGTTGGAACAGTGCTGCTGTTGCTAAATATGTTTCTTGTATTATGCTGTCTTAGAGAATGACTTGGAACACCATTTTTACACTGTGTGATAAGGCAGTGTATTAACATAAATTGGAGGCCTTGAATATGAAAGAGTATGGCTTATATTCTAGATTGGACTCTGTGTGTATGCTCAGTTTGGGACTCAGGTATTTAGTTTTAATTCAGTGTAGAAATGTGCATGGTATAAGACCAAATACTGGTCTTTGATTATTTGAAATTACAATCAGTCAATATTACTAGGCTCATAATATGTGTTGGGGTATGTGGTCATTTATTGAAAGGTATTCAGAGTCAACACTCTGCCTTTTCTATAACCTGGTGTCACTTTAAATAAAGTATTCCTTTGAGATGACTAATTTTATTGGAAGGTGGTTAGTTTTAGATACTGAAATGAAAAGTATGCTTCATATTTCTTTCCTTTGGAGAGTTTAAATTATTATTATTTTTACCTAGTACGTCAATGTATAATGCATTGTATATTGCAATAGGCGAGAATCAAAATGCAGAGGCCCATCCATTTCAGGTAATTCTTGGCACTGTTCCATTTACAGTTATGGTACTGTAACAAAATTTGCAGAACAATTTATTAACAGTCAACACTTAATAGGCATGTTAAGAGCTGTTTTAAAGGCAGCAATATTTAACTTGTAATAAATTTTTGTTTTGAAAGTTTGCAACAGACATGCTGGGACCTGAAGAGAGAAATGTCCAATTTGCGTGTAGTGGCTGACAAGCAAGCTGAGATCCTACAAAAACTGAAAAGGAACACACCAGGAACCAAGAAAGGCAAGTCAGTGTTTGCAGTAAGAGACCTTACAAACACAAACCATTGATTCAAGCTGTAGCATTTTAAAAATAAACCAGCTATCATATCTTATCAGAATCTCATCAATTGAAGTTGATAAGCTAGACTGTATTATGGTTCCAGCTTCCTCATTTTCTGCTTTTGCTTCTGTCTCATACTGGTCAACTTCACACATAAAGGTGTTGCTGATGTGTTTTTTCTTCAGTACTGTATTCTGTTCCCCTTGTGGCTTTTTTCTCAGTCAAGTGTTGCTTATGTGCACAAGGCTGAGGTGTTAAGTTTACTCTTATTTGACCTTTTACCACAACTACTTCATATTAGGGGGGAAAAAAATCTTTTTGCAAATGCAGTCTTATTTTCCCAGTACAAAATATATGAAGTATTAAATTTCATGCTTTAAATTTAAATCTTTAAATTTCAATTTAAGTGCTTCAAATTAAATTAATTTAATACTTTAAAATATTGAAATTCCTTGTGGTTGCCTATTTCTTTATATTGTACTCAGAAAAGGTGTCTTTTCTAACAAAATGTTACACAATGTGTCATTTTCTGCAAGTCAGAATACTGGGGAAAAAAAACTGCCTTAAATAATTTAAGGGTTAAGCGTTTTTCACATAAAGTATTTAAAATTTCCGTGAGCACTTCATCAGACAGTTCTTCTGTTCCATGTTTCTCTCAAGCCAAATGCTAGACTGTTGGTCAAACTGTGGTAAAGAGTTAATTTCCTTTGTTTTCTGCTCACTTCGATTGTGGTCTTTACTGTGCTCAGAATATTGGTGGAAGACAGTGAACTTGGTTACAATGTACTGGTGACAGTCTCTGATGTCCCTGTCCATGACCAGATCAAGACATTTTGTTTCTAAACAGCTCAGTGAGGTAATGACAGGATTCCCCTCCCGAGCAGTCCTTGCCTTTGTGGTCAGCAGTGACCAATGATCACTTTGTCTCTGGTACTTGGCTGATACAAACTGTCAACCCATTTTGTAGACTTGGCCATATTGTTATCAGGTGAGTCTGTGTTCCTACAATTCTCAAACATGTTTGTCAGATAGCTTCAGCAGAGAAACTGGGAACTGAATGAGTCTAAATAATCTTAAATCTGTCAAGGTTTGATGTGATCATAAACAGTCCTTACTTTTAATTTGGACTTCCCTGTCTTGCCACTACACAACTACTGATTTTTCTCACCTCCTTGGTGAGGAGACTCATATTCTGCAGTTCTTATGCAGTTGTTCTTCCACAGCCATAGAAGGCATTCTTGATTGATCAGGGAACAGTGGACTTTTGCCTTTTCATCTGTAGACTTTTTTTAGAAGTATGTGAGAGTGGACAGGTCTGATCTTGGTCATCAGCCACACTTAGGAATGCAATAAGTAAGTAATATAAACTTTGCTTATATTTATAGACAAATCTTGGCTTATGCAAAATATGGGTACAATTGACTGAAGCCTTCCACTTCCTATACCTCTAGTGACTTTTGGCATCTACAAACCAGCAGCCATTGCTTGAGGTGCATTAATTCTGCGGAACACACGTTCATTGCTTTGTGTGGATCATGAACAGTATCATTTAACATGTGGATTCTACTTAGAATGTGGAGAGGCATTTTATTTATGTTATGTATGGAGGCATTTTCAACAAATGTGTGTGCTTGTAGGGTTTTCTGTTTTTTTTCTTGTTTTTTATTGGTTGGGGTTTTTTTGTGTTTTTGGTTGGTTTTTAGGGTGTTTTTTTTTGTTCTGGGTTTTTTGGGGTTTTTTTGTACATTTTCAATCTATTTTCAGTGGATTCAATTTTTCTTGAACTTCTAAAGGTCTGTGGGCCTCAAATTGCTTTTTACACCTGCCAGCACAAAGATGCCAAATCCAGTGCCTTAGCATGTCTTTCAGATATGATGTCCATGCTATTGGAGAGTGGTTTGGGCTGACATCCCTAAATATTAATTCATTGTGACAAACAGAAGTTGCATTCTCTGACCAAGATACCAACTTCTTTTTCTGTCCCTTAAGATCTAAAGTTAAAAATTGCAATTGATGCTCAAGATTAACAGCTGCTCTCGACAACTCTATGTAAGATGTGAGTTTTAACTCAGGGAGCATTAATCTACCCTGATTACATGTTTATGTACATTATCACTACAGAAAAAATTACCTGCTTGTATTTGGCCATATGTTCAGATGTGTGTTGAAGGTGCAGCTCTTCCATTGCAGGTAGATCCTGTTTAATTTCAAAATCCCCCCTGCCTAACAGTTTAAAACTCCTCTGGAATGTCACATGACTGAACATTGCAGTTTGTCACTTTACTTTTGAAAGTCAGACAAGAGAACCTGTGAACACCACGTATTTCCATCTTACTGCTTCATGGGCAGTGAGAATTTGCCTTCTGGATGGCATGAGAATACAACTTGTTAAAGAATCAGTAGAATAGGAAGCAGCATTCAGTCTTCTGCATCTGGCTGATTTCTCCAAGCATGTGAAAATGGTCTCTGTTTAAGCATTCATTTCAGTCTGGTCAGAAAGATCCATCAGTTTATCTGTGTTGAAATGGAAGTTGAGAGATATTTTTGGAGTTGGGTGTGTTTTAGACACTGATTTCAGGATTTTGAGTTCATCTTGAGACTAGTGATGGTAGTATATTGTTTTTAGCTTTCAAGTAGTTACTGAAGCCAACCTTGTGGCTTGAAGAAACTGTGTTTAACATCCCTGCTAGACTGTAGTACATTTGGAGTACATGAAAAATGCATTAGGTAATGTAATTTTTAAAATATTTTTTTATCTTCTTCCTTCAGCTGCCTGTACTGCACCAGTACAATGTGTTGACTTGAACATTTCAAAGGTGAATTTGACATCTGGGGTAGGCTATAAAAACCTCTCACAAAATGATAAACCCCTCAGCAATGTTGTGTCTCCTCCACTGCTGAGAAATGCCCGTGTCCCATCAGAAAGGGTGACCCTACAAGCTTGGACAGATGAGAGACCAATTCCACCTGATGGCAGAACATTTCAGGAACACCATTCCTATGGAAAGAGCTCTCTGGAAGATAATTCCTGGGTATTCCCAAGTCCTCCAAAGCCCAATGAGAATATGTTTTGGGAAATGAAGAATAATCCAACTTTGTTAAACTGTCAAGCAGATTACCTGGATCGATGTAATCAAAACTGTCTGCACAAGAGTTAAACAATTTTTAGGATGAACTGAGGCATTTTTGGAGTGATTCTGAATAGGCACCTTAATGCTTGAACTTCTAAGGAGAGAAAACAAATTGCTTGAAATGTTCTTTATTTTTAATTCTAGTTCCAAATCGGAAAGCCTAGTCTTCCTCTGCTGTAAATCAGGAGTGAGTTCCTTGATGTTAAAGCTGTGCTGGTATAATGTAAATACAAAGAAATCTAGCATGGGGCCTAGATAGTCTTGTACTGCAAATGACATACATTTGCTAAAGGTTACACTGAAAAGTGAGTTTGTGGAATAAAACAAAATAATCCAGTTCTGTATTTGTTCACTATTTGTATGTTATCAAGAAAATACTTGGTATCCAGTGTTAGAACTTGTACCAGGCCTTAGCTTATATTTTGACAGTGTTCTTTTTCAGAATAAGAGAGAACATGAAGAATTGGATTCTCTCTTCCTTACTCCTTTCAATTAGTTTTTATTCCTCTGGTTTGTAAATGCATTTTTCTGTAATATTGAACTAAGAAAGGTGAGTTTGGGTTTTTTCTTTCCCCAACCTTGATTTATATGAGATAGTTGCAAGAGAAAAACCACCCTTATGCTATCCTGTTTCAATTGCCTCATTTAGGGCTTGATTGTGAATGGTGAAGGACCTTAAGTAATGCTGCTGCTGAACACTGTGAATCCTGGAGGTTCAGCTTGTTTCCCTCAGTTCCTGCTGATGGAAGCTGCTGTAAATGCACAAGGATGCTGCCACAGACCCAGTGTGCTCACAGTGCAGTTTTTCATATTGTGCCTCCTTTGCACAGCACCACAACTCTGACTCTTCATTCCTGTGGTGGTGAAGGCTAATTTTTCTTTTGTTAAAGAAACAACGCCTTAATTTAATCAGACTTGGTGTTGTTGCATTGTTGATATACAAAAATAAGTATTTTTGTAGTGTCTTTAATATGCCACTGAGAACCAGAGCTACTGGAATTCCAACTACCTGCTTTATAGATTATGAGTCTCTAGGCACTACTTTTTCATTTTTTTTTTTCCTCTTAAGGCCATGAACTGTTTCTAGGCAAATATAATTTATGGGGTTTTTTTCTTTGTAAAATTCTCTGCTTCATATCTGGCTTAATACAACAGGGTTAAGTGAAATGTCTTGACTGCTCAAAATGCTGAAGAAAAATGCATTGTATTTTAGATCCATGATACCTAACTTGTATGGGCAGGAAGTTATTTTATACTGAATACACTCTTTACAAATGTGTGGGTGGGTGAAGTACTCAGCTTCACAGATCCAGCTTAACATCAAAGTAATAAAAATTAATTTCACAGCTGTTTAGTAGCTAATTATCTTAAGACTGCGTGCAAATACATGGAGAAGCTGTGTCTGTAGCACAGCCATAGTAATGATGGGCTGTAGAAGTGTTACAAGGGTGCTATGTGACCTGTGTGGTTCCTGACACTCCCCTGCACAGTAAGTACTTCAAACAGAGCCCATCCTTCACTTTGTCTATCAAAGGCAAAAAAATGCCTTCCAGATACCTTCTCCTGTAGTACAAACAGCATACATAAACAATGTTTCCCATTCATCAGATATTGTTTTTATCTTTCTATTATCTTGCTCACGTATACTGGCTTGTCTGTGATTAATGGAAATGGTGTCAGATGCTGGAATTTATTCTGACCAATGAACACAGCTGACTCAGGGGAGTACAATCTCTTGGAAAGTAATAGAACAAAACCCAATATGCATAAAACACATCTAAGTCACTAGGCTTTAGCTGATAGAACCAACTACCTATGTAATAACAAAGAAGGCATTTCTCATGTGGCTGCATAAGCTATGTGGTACCTAGTTCTAATGTAGTTTACTTTTGGGGTCCCCCACCTCAACATTATTGAGATGTTTTATTAAGGAATGTAATATTCAACAGGCATTAACATGATTTGTGCAATGAAGGAATTCTGCTGTGTAAAACATTAAATAAATTTATTTTTGTTTGAAATTGGTTTCAATAACAAATCTCCTTTCCGTATTTGGCACAAAATTTTTTGCTTAAGTTTTAATTCCTTTATTGTGTATAAATGCTGTTCCAAATACAATTAGATTTGAGGTTTATCACTTTGACTTAAAAAACAGCCATCTGTTGTAGCCTGCTTCAGCATCTTCTGGGAGAAGAATGCTCCTGGATGTTGAAACCTGAAGGATTGAGTTGCTTTTGACTGCTTGTGTCAAAAGGTTCCCAGTCAGCTTGTCCTGTCTTGTATGAAATCAAGATTTTCTGTGCAGAGCCTGAGAATTACCAGGTTTTGCATTTGACCCTTGGTTTATATTCTGTACTCCTTCCCAGGGTGGAGAAGGGAGCAGCAATGTTTGCTGAGAGGAACTTCAGGAGTGCTGCTGCTAACTAGGGAGAAGAGGGACTGATGCCAGAGAGTTCGCTGCAGGCAGCATTTCCAATCCAGTCACTCATTGCCATGTCCAAGATGTAACAGCTGAAAAGGAAGTCCCCAGATTTGGAGTCACTTGGGAGCTCACTGGCTTGTGAAACATCTGTTGGGTCTGAAGCTTACAATCGGGTTTTGACTGAGATGGAAAAGCCATTTAAATCCATGCCACTAGCGGCTTACAGTGCTTTTTCCATTTTCAGAAGTGAAATCTTTTCATCAGTGACAGCAAATTACATGGACAAGTAGCTGTAATAACGGGGTTCTGGTGTTAGTGTGCATGTGTTACATAAAACTGTAAAATGTAATATAGTAAGGACCAAAGTTCTCAATTATATCAAATGACCCCAAGAAAACTTTAACTTGAATACAAACCTTGAACATTTTAAAACCTCCCCCAACCTACCAATTTGACTATTTTTAATTTAAGAAAGCACTAACTCCATTTAACAGAAATCAAAGCCAGCTGTTGGGGCAGGAGAAGGTTGTTGCTCTGCACATTTAAATGAGCAAATGCCAACCTAATTAATATGTATTTGGGTATTTGGTGAGTTGGATGAACCTTCTAATAACTTGCACGTAAACTTGCACTGTTTGGTTAATTTTAAGTATTTTTAAAATCTGATAGTTTTAAGTTTCCCTGACAGTTTTGTGGTGTACAGCTGATCAGTTTTCCTCACATGTGAACTAGCCATATTGAACAAAGCAAACCCCCAAATTAGCTGTGATGGACTGTCCAGTTTTTACATCTGGAAAAGACAAGAGCAGCACAAGACATACGCTGAAGTTACAGTAAAAACTGCCCATTCCAAGTAATGAAACGCAGGCCCCTGTAAGTATCACATGAACTATACTGATGGGATAAAGCAGATTGAATTTTCTTCCAAAACCAACTTGCAGCATACTTCTACTTCTGTGCTGACACAACTGCAGCTTTAATGATGCTGTGGGCTGGTAAAGGAAGAGTGAAGAGCTCTGGTACCTGGCAGACACCTGTATTGTCTTCTGATCTCCAGACAGGCCCTGTGAAGTACAGTGGTCGCAGAGGTGTAAGGTATTTCTCTGATTCTCTGTGTAGTTTGAGTGAAAAAAGGGCATGTGGGGGTTTGTTTGGGGTTTTGTTTTTTTTTTTTGAGATTTTATTATTTTTGAGGGTTTTTTCAGGTTTTTGACCTTTTCTTTAGGGAGAGTGGTGTTACTACTTGCAATTGTATTAACATAGATCAATCGATGAAAGCATTTTATGTTTTTATGACCAGCAGTAACATAAACACTAATTTTAACTGAGTTGCAATTTAACATTAAAAAACCCACCCTGTGCAGTAACTGTCCAGCAAAATTAATTTAATTGTATTTTAAGATGGAAGAGAACAAGTCAAACATTAAGATACAGTAATAAAGTGGTAAGATGATCATGTCTGAGTATGGCTGTTTGATTTAGGGAGAAGCATGCAAGAAACACCCAGGTGCTTACTGTTACTGAACCAATTTATAATTAGGTGGAACATTCCAAGTGTATTTGGTCATTTTTTGATCAGCAGAGTAAACAGGACAGAGGAATTACTTGCAGGAATTACCCGAGGAGTATGCCTGTACTAAATGTGGAGCAGAATGGGCTTCTGGCTTGCAGGTTAATTTCTGTGTGATTTTTCAGACTGCAGTGACTGTTCCACTGCCCTTTGAAAATCCTGTGCATTACAAACTGTCCCTCTTCTTCCCTCCAAATCTGGATTTTACTCTCTGAAGGCAGACTTTTAAATAAGTACATGACACCTTCTGCCTCTTTCCTATCTTGCCTTTGTTGGGGGCTCCCCTCAGGAGTTTGAAGAGACCTTTAATACAGCCAGAGAGTGCAGCCTCCAGTGAAAAATGGGGGTGTCTTGGGTGCCTGCCAAGTGCTCTGAAAAGAACAGATAGGCCCCTGTGCTGTGTTTTCTTACACTGATTAGAATCCAGGGCTGCCTCCAGTAAACCTGAATAGGAAGGAGAGTTTACAGCTGAGACAAAACCAAAACTGAAAGTAATTCAGTGGTATGAGTTTGTCATGTCATGGTACTCATTCTTTCATTTAAACTTTAAATAAAAGATGTAAATGCAATTCAAGTACAGGATATGCACAAGATACTAAGAAAATTAAAGGTGTGAAACCAGGAATTCAAAGCTAGGGAACAGCACATTAAGGCCAGAGGTGTATTATGGAGGAAGCTGATGCATGATCCAAGGGCCAATCCTTGCTCTGAATGCATACCAGTAATCCAGATGTAGGAAAAAAGAGAAACAAATGGCTGACAGCACCATTCAGTACATGGAATTTCAGGTGTGACATCAGTGCAGGTGTGAGCTGTGGCTACTGTTTACATACAGCCTGTATTGAAGGTTGGGGAGTGATACCTGCACGTTCACCTCAGCTTTGTTCCATTCCACACATCCATTCCTTTCCTGCTGTCCTGGTCACTGCACTTGTGGGTCCCCCTCACTTGCTGCACACAATTTCTGCTGAGCCAGAAAAGGAGACCTCTGTTGCTGTTGTCTGACTCAGACCTGAGTCACAGCTGAGTATGAGCCAGGTAAGTCCTCAGTGCCAGCACACACCACCGGCAGCAGCCAGCACTGCCCTTAGAGAATGCTCACTCCCACCACCACCCCCCAGTCCTCTAGGGAAGGGCTTTTGCCAACACTTTCAGATGCCCAGGCTGGCTTTCCAGAGCTTGAAAACATAGCAAATTTTCATAGTGGGACAGAAAAACAGTCATTGTCATTAAAAACATGTCACCATCTATTTTAAATTTCTTCCTTTTTAAAATACATACCACAAAGCAACTAATTAGGAGTATTTTTGTTTTCCAAAACACCTGAGATAAGAAGCCAAGTACAGTGTCGGTCACTGTTCCATATACACCATTTCAAGGTGATTACTTTTAGAGCTGAGTGCCACTTAAGTTTGCCTAACAAGGCTACACATCTTTTCAGTTTGCCACTACACAAGTCCAGTCCTCCACCCAGTTTGCTGAAACAACATTATTAAAGATTATTCCAGTAACAGGCACAGAATAAAAGGCAATGACTAACCTGGAGCATTAAGTCCTTCATATATGTGTGTCAGAGCTTCTTCCTTGCATAGAGAAATACTGTTTGTGGTGAAACAGTATTAAACAAGTAAAATGTTGCCTCTTCTAACAGAACAGTATAAAATCCTACTCCTTACTCATAAAATTACGTTTTTTTATTCTTTAATCAGGGCATTAAAGTTACCAAGTTTAAGTGCAGTCTTTCCTTGCTTTTAAAAAATTTAGTTTTATTTCAGAATGCTTGGAGGGTAACTCCAAGATAGTTTCTAAAACTTTCTATTAGTATCTCTAAGTGAAGCAATTTAAGCAATTACCATTAATTTTTAAATAATTTAATTAATTAACTGTAATTAAGCAGCTTCAAGTATCAATACACGAAAGATGGCTTGTGTGCTGATTTTAAATTAAGGACCTTCTTAGTTCCTGCAAGGTGATCTGCATCTTCTATGCCTGGTTTAGTTGTTTACTCACCTCTGCCTGGGATAATTTTCTAAGTGTGGTCACTCACAAACTCCTGAAGCATGGTAGCTTATTCCCTGTTCTCAAGGAAGGTCTGGATGAGATTACTTTCTCCCCTAGAGTTGAAATGGTCAGTCTGGGCTATGCACAAGTGCAAGGCATCCATCTCTTCTGACAGTATAGGCTTAAAAGTGAGTCACAGTGCAGACTTAAAAAGGAGTTACAGTGCAGGCAGAAGTACTGCCAGGCTCTCATCTGACAACACTTTGATGAAAAGGGTAATTCACATTGGTCTGAGCAGCTCTTCTGCATTTGCCACCCTTCTCTTCTATTAAGTGCATCTCCATACAGTCAGCTTCAGGTGATGACTAACAGACCAACTTAAGTGTATACCAAATCTGTGACCAGTTCATACAACTTAAATTATTCACCCATAATTTTTTATGTAGCCTGGCTCATGTAGCTAGATATAGGCTTTAAATTCCAAATGGACATGCTAGAGTTGTAAACTCCAAACTGTACACTGGTAACAAAATCCCAAGTCCAGATAGAGGTACACACCTTTGCAACCTCTCTTGCAAACTGTGACAGCATGCTCTAGATCTTTAATTATGAAAAGTTTTGAAATGAAAGCTTAATTTCAGACATTACTTTATTCTCCATCTCGTTTTGCGTATTTCAGTTAAACTCCACATAGAGTGGTAGAGACAATTTAAGTCTGTTTAAATCAAGTGAAATCCAAATTTCATATAAAAAAAAGTTCATTTTAAGTTTTAATCACACATTCGGAGTAAACTTCTGTCTTTTTTTCTTAATTCCAGTTGCTCTGTATTCTTCTCTTTGCTTCAAATATTCTGCTTTGCATTCTTCATAGAATGATGGATCAGAATAGCTACAAGACAGAAAAATGCATATTTTTTTTCATCTTGGAATATTGAATAAATATTGCACAAGTGCCACTCATAACTGATCTTTCTTTTAGACCCAAAGAAAACTTGTTGTTCTTTAACAGTAAAATAACTTTCCTTTTCAAGCCTCTGTAGTGAAGCCAAGAGGAAAAGCAGAAAAAGGGAAACACATTTGGTATTTAAGTTCAGCTGAAGAATTCATTTGCAGTTACCCTCCTCAGCATGGGAAGCTGCTGGAGATGACTTATTTTTTTAATGCATCCAAGTATCTGCTGGGAATAGGTTCAAGTGTATGTCTTTAACAGTATATATAATGGTCCTTGATCATTACATTAAATTCTCATAGTTTTTGAAGTATAACAATTCAACACTATAAACCTTTTTTTGTCAGAAGCATTTTGTTTAATTTTATTTTTTGCAAAAGGTGAAGGAACAGACAAATAAAACTGCGTAATTCCAGCAAGTTCTGACTGCAGTTAGGCCTAAATTCTTGCCTGGCTGCATATGTTTTTTTCACCAGTTCCTAAATACTAAATAACTGTCACTAGTTCAAAGGTAATCGCAATTGCTGGTTGAAGAGAGTAGGACACATCAAAAATCAAACCAACCTCTTTTTTCCCCCAGTCAAACTCAAGAACTTCACAGCCCTCTCACCCTGGGAAATTCAAGAATCTAACACTTCAGCCTAATGGCACTGGGGGTAAATTAGGACTTCCAAAAAAGATGTTTCAATCCACCATGGCATTGGGTTGACCTCTCATATACAACAATTTCCCATTGCTCCTGATACTGCTGTTCACAACAGCAGGACACTTTCAAGACAGACTAAATATTAAAAAACAGAAGCAAAATGAAAACCAACTTTTCTGTCTTACTAACAGACTATGAAGAAGCTTCACTGTGCACCCCTATTCCCCACATCTGTGATGCACCAGAGCAAATACAGGGCTGCAGGTCCTCTGGGCTGAAATCCGTCCCCAAATGAATCAAGAAAAGAGTCTCTGTAGCCATATATTCATAGTATAAATAAAATCTTGTCAAGTTAGTGCTCTTCCCAGCACAGTTTTAATAAAGCAAAGATACCATTTTCAGAAAAGATATCCAAGTCCCTAACCCTGCACTGCCTTTTTCAGAATAGTTAACATTTCTAGATTAGCACCGGCCTGCACAGAAACCCAACAAAAACTCACGAGGTACTTACTAGCCAACCAGACAGTCCTTCAGTGCTGTGTTCTCCTGCCGACACTTCACCACCATCAGAAGACCAGTTTCTTGACAGCATTTAGTAAATGCTGGGGGGAAAAAAAACAACAGAAACTAAATTGACAATAGGTGAAAAAACTCTATGTGTAGGAGGTAGCAGACCAGATTTGATTTATTATTAATATAACCATAGTTGGCCCAGATTCTCATACTATTTGCAAGGTCTTTGTCACTTGTTTAGCAACAACACTTTAACTGGGATTCTCTCTCATCATGTAGCATGTTAACACATATATTGCTGTTGCTAATACCATTTCTGAAGCCATTCTTGCAGCAAATCCATGGTTCTTGTGTCTGCTTTTCACATGCTCTACTCTACATGTAGGCTACCAACTACATCTCTACCATTTTAGAACAATGAAGTTGCTCAACAAGTGAAAGCACCTGGTCTGTTTTAAGGGTCTTAAGACTTTAAAACAAGCCAGTGAGATACTAAAACAGAACAGCAAAGTCATGGCTAAGGACATGGGGTTTATCTGGGAGTAACTAAAATTATGCCTCATTGTTACCAGCGCCCTGTATGGATGTTCCACTGAATAATAACCTTAGATAAGAATTGGTTGTTATTTCTATCAGGAGATTTCAAACTGTTCTAAGAGGTAATCAGCTATATTTAGCAGATGGAAAAGAGAGAGAAAAAGAAACACCTGTGTCCTTAATCAACCAGGAGCCAGATCAAGAATAAAGTTCCCCCACCACATCCCCTTCCAGTATTCCATCCATTTCTCCTCTTCTAAGGTCTTCCTGGTAATGATTTAATATCCAGCAAATTTAGGGCATACAAAAATTATTTTCTTGCATATACTTAGCAAAATTTACAGCTAATCTTGTAACATCAAAATGTAATGGTACTACATCACACAACAGCTGAATCACATTACCTATGCTCAGTGTATAGGTACCTCAAGACTAAATAAACAAGAAAGAAGAGATTTGTGCCTACAAAGGCAGCACTCCTGTCCTTTGCTCATAGCAGATGCCCACTGAAATGGGCATTAGGCAATTGTGGACCTCAGTGGAACAGAACCCATCTTCTGGGATCCTGGACACTACTGGCAAGATTTTGAGCAAGTGATCCAACAGCTGCAAGCAATCCCTGGATGAGATTAGTCTGCTTATCCACAGGTATTATTAATTAGGCTTTCACTAAAATAATTTGCAAGACAAGGTAGTGTTTGCTGAAAGTGGTGATGACAGATTTCACTGTCCTTATACTGCAAAATTTTGCAAAGAACTGACTTCTTAACTACTTCAAACATATTATTTATTGATGAACACCTAAAAACCTTCTCCAACACAGCACCCAGTGTTACAGATGGGCAACTACACCACACCCTACATGAAAACCAGATAAAAGTGTGCAGAAAAAGGGTTTAAGTTAACCAGTTGATTACCACCTGGGAAGATACTGTAACCTGTGCTCAAAGGTATCTATTAACAACTACACCCAGTTTCTGAGATCTATGTGTTTTAGACCTAAAGTCACCCAAGTGCAGAAGCACAGCTTTGAGGAAACACCTGGACAGCTCAAGTTTACTAAAGCAGTTTAAGCTCAGAACAAGGCCAATGTTATCAGAGTTATCAGAGTATTTCTTTGATTTTCAAGGGTGAATCTGACATTTCTTCCATTCTTTCCTGGACTAATTATATTGACTATTCTTACATCAGCATCTCATAAAAATTATACCTATTAGTACATTTCCAAAAATGACCTTTGTTTCTTTGTGAGAAAAACATCCAAAGCTTTTGAAAGCTTTTGGTCTGTCTAGTTTGATTTATACTCTCTACAGGCACTTCTTTAAGTGCTGTGCTGAGTTTTTTGNNNTTTTTTTTTTTTTTTTTTTTTTTTTTTTTTTTGGTAGTAGTAATCATTTATTCTGGAAGCTGTGAAGTAAAAAACCACTGAAGACAACAGGAGGTCCCTCTCACTTGTTAACTCACCAGTCTTGATTGGTTAAAGGCGTGATGTCCCAGTGAACAAAAAAAGCCTGAACTGCAATTGCCAGCATTCCCTGGCTTCAGAAGGCCCTGCCTGTGGTACATGGCCAGGCACTGCTGCAAAGTGATAAAACTGCTTCCAGCTGTTTAGCTTTAACATTACTGATGCTTAACAACAGAAAGGAAGAAAGAAGGTTAAAGCATATTAGGCATCCTTATATGAGCACACAAAACTTGATTATCCATCTCTTCTGTTTGGCAGGCCTGTAAGGAATGCAAGACAGGTTCAGTTATAGATGCTTACCAGAAACCTTCCATGAGTCTGGAGAATGTTTTTTTATTTTTAATTGTGCTTTGTCTTGCTCATAGAGAAGCAAGCACCAATCTCTTCACTCTCCTAACCAGTGACAAGACTCAAGGAAATGGCGTGAAGCTGGGTCAGGGCTTGTTTAGGTTGGCTATCAGGAAAAGATATCCACCCAGAGGGTGGCTGGGCACTGGAACAGGCTCCCCAGGGAAATGGTCACAGCACCAAACATGCTCAGGAAGCATTTCAACAATGGTCTCAGGCACATGGTGTGACAGGGGTGTTCTACGTAGGGCCAGGAGTTGGACTTGATGATCCTGATGGAACCCTTCCAACTCAGCTTATTCTGTGATCCTATGACTTTTCCATGAAATTAAATGTGTCAATGTTGAACAGCACAGTGCTACTACTACTTTGGAGAATGTCAGAAATAGTGCTCAATAGCTGCAGATATCTCAAACCAAGAATTAATCTCCATGTCTGACAAGCCTTAGTCATTCCTCACTCAGGCAATATCTCCATTGTTTCAGGATGCATAGCAAGGCACCACAAAAGGAGCAGATACACAGGATCTGGTTACAAACCTAATGTAATTTAACACTTTAGCAGCTATGAGGGGTAATCAGAACACTAAAGAATCCAAACAAACCTTATTCCTGATACACTGCATGCTATCCAAACAAAAGAATTGATCTTTTCATACTCTTGTGTATGATACTATCTTTATGACTTCAGGAAATGGCTTTCCATGACTTTAGAAGTTCATGGGCTGCTATGTTTTCTTTCTTCCTGCAATCAGCAAACTACCAAAACAAAACCTCAAGCAGCAGCAAAACAAGAAGTAAATCTGGGCCAGTCTGCAAATTCATTGCAAACAAAAGAAAGTCGTGTTTCAAACAATAAAAGTTCTGCCAAATATTTCCAAATACAAGCCAAATAAAGTGAGGAACAGAGCTCAACACCACAGAAGTGAAAATGCCTTGTTAGAAAAGGGAAAAAGGTTTGCCCTCCATCAAATCAAACCTTTGCCAAGGCTTTTCTAGGACAGCTACATATGTCCATCACTGAATGCTCTGTGCACAGACAAGGACAGATCCACTACTGCGTCAGCGAGCTGCAGGTGCCTACCAGTTACCACGGAAACTGGCTACAGACCCCCCTTTCACCTGCAGCAGTCATGGTTCATGACATCATATCTGACATAGGTTACCCCACAGGCTCCTCTCCGTGCCACAGGCTCTGTCTGAGGGGATGCACACGGAGCAAAGATCTCTTCTTGAGGCTACAGCTTCACTGAAAAGCTCAACACTGATTTGAGACCAGATTCCTTCTTTTCCTCTCATGAAGAAAGCTTTGCATTCCTGTTGCAAGACAAGTCCAAAATAAGTTTTGGTCACAGTTCAGAGAATTTTAAGCCTTGTTACATTCTGGCCATAACAGCCACATAGAGAGATTTTAACTGCTAAAGCAAGCCTGCAATTGAATTTAGTACTTTTTCTAAATCAACCAAGTATGTAAGGCCAAAATGTATCTTTGCCAAGACAGAGCTCTGCTGTCAGCTGAACAAAAGCTGAGCAGCCATGTCTGAATACAGAGCAATTCAGTTTTGCCAGTTCTCACCTGCTCACTATGGCATGCTGGCATGTGCAGGGGATCTGCCTATGATGGGAAGACCACATTTTCAGGGAGAGACAGGAGGGCTTTTTGGCTGAGGCCAGAGATGAGCGAGTCCTTCCAAGGACTGACTCTTCAGCAGGGAGCATCTCTGGCCCTGAGCAGCTCAGGGAAGCTGCTGAGTTTGGTCCCTGGCACCTCCAGACCTGCCCTGGACCCAAGAGCCAGATTTCACTGGCTATCCAGTTGTATCCAACTTACCCACCTGAGAAAGCACAACACAAACAATTAGGAGAAATTAGGTCCTGACATATGTAAAGTCACAGAACAGAAAAAAAGAAGCTTTTTAAAGCCTTCTTAATTTATATATAAAGCTGTACAGACATGCATTTTTTAAATAAAAATCCCATTCCAAGTCTTTCTACAATTCCCTTTAGAAACAGAATTATACAAATTATGTTGGAGGCATGAGGAATTAGTTTTGAGTGCCTGACTTAGTATATTTGATGGTTGATTAAAAACTTCTTTAAGTTACAGAGCACTATTTTTATTAAGGTTTCTTTGATAATTATCTAGGTTAGCACAGTAAAGAACATTGTTTACAAGGATCTTTACAGTGCACACAAATCTTTGCTGAAAAAACAGTATCTAAGAAGAATGTTTTTCTTTAGTATTTCTAATTGCTTTTTCCCCAACTCTGTTTTATGACTTTATAACAAGATAATATGAGAAGCAGATGGAAACTGAAGGGAAAATGGCTAACAGTTCACTTACCACAGAATAAAAACTGGACAAATTATTTCCCTGTCTATTCAAGCAGTCAGACATCCATATGCAATACACACTAAAGTATTAATTTTAAAATATCAGACACATTACCAGAAAGCTACAACAAAGTTGATGGGGGTCCACCAATAGATGTCCTGGGACAAGTCCTAATTAAAATAAATGAGATAAAAAGCCAGGGTCTTGCCCATTCTAACTTTAGAACATATTCATAGGTTCAAAGAATATTTGCTCCCTATGACAAAAATTAAAAACTTGTAGGATTTTGAGGCAAAGGGACAAAGCAATAAGACACAGGCACAGCTCTGCAGAATAAAGATCATGATTTTCTTCCACACCATTAAACCAGACAAGGTTAAATTTAATACTCTTAATCTCAGTGTC